CACCAGAGGGGGCGCTCGCGAGTAGGAAGTAATCTGCTTTTCCCTCACAAGATGGCCCAAATCTCATGTGAAGTCTCTGATTTTTGTGTTGGTGCATCCTGGTGGACTATGTGTAAAATGCCAGAATTCATATGATGCTGCTACAGCTGATATATATTTGTTGTCAAAATACCTTTTAGTACATATGTTGTTAAAATAAAATGAACAGTCCAATGATCATTTTACTGATATGTATAAAGACTGCAAAGGCTGAAAAATCTTGAAGTCTGTATGAAATTGGAGGTAGTGTGAGGATTAAATTTTTTTTATGCTTTTTAAGCACAAAAAATGGGGGTCGTATTATACATGAGATTGTATTATACACGAATAAATACAGTAACTCAAATTTAAATTGCACAAAGTGTCCATCTGTCTTAAACTATTACTCATATCAAAAAATGCTATTCCCGAACTTACAAACGATTTTCTGAATTGTTTTTCTCCTCGTTACACACAAACAAACGCCAAACACACACATGCATCTAGGTGGTCTTATGAACAGAGTGTATGCTTTCTAGGCTGGCTGAGGTAATCCTGGCCTCCACTAAAGTAGCCGTGTGAGCGGACAGATTGTCAGTTGATCATGGCCAGCCGAGAGCCTTATCCCTTATTGGATCGGCCATGGAGGAGGCTTAGGAATTATCTGAGGCCTCACTTAATGTGGAGACGGATCACCACCAGCGAGCCACAGAGCCTGAAAACACGCCGGGCCTGAGGGGAGGGAGAGTTGTGTGTATAAGAGTCRTAAAGTGGTGTGTGTGTGTGTGGATGTTATAACTGATGTATGCTGGTGTGTGCTCACAGCAACACCATGACCCACGTAACCTCATCTTGACATAGCGCTCTCTCATTCCCCCTCTTTTTTCATATTTATCAGTGTCTTTGCTTTCATCTCCTCTCCCTCTTACCTGCCTTCTTATAGTTCATTATTTTATGTTAGTCTCACTACACCTGTCCTGATTTTGTTCATTTTTCTCTTTACTTTTCTCTCAATCTGCTCTACTTAAACTGAATATCCTGTCACAGCTTTTAGTTTTTAAAAATATAAACGAATTCAAGCCAACTCTGATTTGTATCTTCATCATTCTCTATCTAATCCCTTCCTGTGGCCCACAGTTCATTTCTCTCCTAAGAAAAATAAATAAAATGATTTTGAAAATCAAACTTTTTGTTGGAAATAAATGAAACAAAGCCAAATGTTCTGATGTCAAGAAAACTTCTTGAAAATTGGAAGAAGTCTGGTTATCAAGTGGGTCATAAACAGACCTATATTATGGTAAAAACAGACAATGTGTGCCTGTCCTATCATCTGTTTAACATTCTGACTTCATGAAAAGAGATTCAACTTTGTAAATCCTGAAACAATTTGAAAAGCTACACTCAATATTGCTCCTACTTACACGCTAAGTTAAGCATCACTCCATCTTTTAAATAAAAGTGGTTGGGCTCTTTTTAATTAAGTCTTGGTTCCGTGAACAGAGTAACAGCCTCTTCTCAAGTACTTTTAGCTTAGCTTGGCTTAGCTAGTGAGATAGTATAACCGTGCCTGTCTGGATCCCCTTCAGGTACTCAAAATAGCTCTTTACTTAATTCCCTCCTCGCTCTAAGCTCTTTGGCCTTTGAATGCTTTAGGATTCTCCTAAAAGATCTCAAAGACATGGGTGGCGTGACGTACGTTGGCTAGTTTTCTTTGCCCATTACTACCCCAGCCCAAACCTGGATATAAGCATTAAGAAAACTGAAGGGTGGTTGGATAATTCTACTTTGTGTCACTGATTACTGACAAATACTGAAGGCAGATTAGGTTGTGTTAAGTCTAGGTGGTACCAGGAGTCGGCCTCGGTCTCGATGTGGAGGGATAATGTTAAGGACAGAGGAATTTAACAGTAGAACGAGTTGGAAGCTGCGGCCAAACATTCTGGACATTCAGCTGGTCTTCTTGTCCTAATAACATTCTGATATGTGGGGAAGTTATAGGCTTGTTAAAACCAAACTGTAAAATCACCCTGGCGTTTAGCAACCTACAATTATAAAAGCCTCACAACACAAACTGAATCTATTGGGTTTTCTCACAACATTTAACTTATTTTGGGCCAATAAGTATACAAATATATCCAGTGTTTCTATTGACCTGTTGCTTATATTTAACATAAAAAATGATCCCCAAATGGTTAGGCACCTCTTCTTACCAACAATCTGATGGTTTTAAAGTAAAACTCCTTTTGAAAAGAGGTTTAGTTCCTGGGAGTGATAACTACACCCGATACACACCTACACACACACACACTCACAAAAGCACTAGTTCCTTTCCTCATCAAGTAATTGAAGGTGAGAAATAATTTCATTATTCTCAGGAAGAGTAATCTGCTCTTTTCTCCTGATCCTTTCATTTCCTACAGTGCTTCTCGACCTGGGAAGCTCTCTCGTTCACACACACACACACACACACACGCACACACGCACATGACACACGGTCTTTCTCACCCTTGGCTATTAATGTTATTAGAGTTGCGGATTATCCATCAGATTCACATATGCTTAAAAAGTCAGAGTGGGAATGTGGTGACCACTACAACAGAAACAGACCTTTAGAGGGGCAGTCAAAACAGTTTTAGCTGCTATTCTTTAGCTATTTTGTTTCTTTAATCACAAATGACCTCATAAATTAACATAAACAGCTGGAGAAACGCCTTGAGGGATACGTAGACCCCCCCGAGAGGACATAAAAGGGCTTTGTCCCCTCTGTCTTCAGGGAGTGATTATTAGATGCAAACAGGATGGTCAGCATCCATCAAAAGTCAACAGCAGCATAAAGGTTAGAAGAAAAATCTTTAAATTGTCTTGATTTTGCTGCGGAGCGGAGGATCACTGTTACATTACCACCCTCTACTGTTCATCGTGTCTAGATGTTTTGGGGAGACCCTGCATGTCAAGTGTCAGTTATTGTCAGGGAGGGGAGGAGATGAACTGTGGTTTCTAATAGCAAAGACGTCTGTCCTGATGTAATTATGTTACATTAGGAGAGTAGGGGTTAAAGTTGAAAGAAGTATTAGGATGCAGCAAATGACTTTTAATACAGTTTTTATCATTGAAGGATGTGAAGGAAAAGTGTAATTATACTATCTGTTTTCACTAATCTCCAAAAGATTAAACTCTTAAGTGCTGCACCATCGTACTTCTAAATCTTCATTTTTATGCTTAAAAATAAAAAAAACAACAATTTGTACTTTTTGTTTGATCTTCAACACTGCAGCATTTTTTAAAGAGATATTTTGCCTGTTTTTTTCTGATAACATGTAAAATATTTGATATTTGGAAGCTTGTCTGTGAGTAATTACAATCCTGATGCTGCTACAAACAGCAGTGAACATTCTCGTCTTTAGAAAGCCACCGGCGACAGCTATTAAAATCAAAACGCGCCTTATAGTTCGTGCTGAAGAACAGTCGTTCAGGAATTATGAATAACCTGCAATCCATTATGCCCATTAGTTTGAAATTGTCTGCATGTTTGATATCAGGGAGAAAAGATGATCTGAGAAGATTAGACCATTGAACTGGTTCTCTGAAAGCTGCTTTGGGGCTTAGAGACAGAAATTATTAAAAGAAAGCTCACTCGGTGTTAGATTTGAACTCTTAACGTGTTTGTTGATAGCAAAAGTAACACCCGGCAGCACATTTACATCCAGAAAATGTCACATATTTGCATTACGCTGCTAACAAACAACCTGAGATAAGGCCCAGAGTTGCTCTTCAAGCGGTGTACAATCACGACATTAACCCGAGTGTCTCTTGACAATGTAAAGTTCTCCACGCGACAAGCTCCTCGCCGAAGAGAAACGAACAGTCGGAATTTAAAATGTCACCGCTGGTTCAGCCTCACGTGCCTTGACACTCTCTTAACACAGTTTAGCTACTGTGACTGTCATTTTTTTTTCTAATGGGGAAAAGGAATATTTGGACACTTTATCAATAGGCATTATTAAATCCTGCTTGCTTGAGCTAATCTTGGCGGACCGAAGCGAGGGGAAAGAGAGAGTCGGAAAAAGGGTGAATAAGAGAGATAGAGGCAGAGGAGGAGAGCGGGAGAGCAGTGATGTCTGCCCCACGAGGTGATGAGAGACCGCCTGTAAGCCGCTTATTATATCGACAACCACCTTTTCTTTCTCCTCCTCTAACCCTCCCTGGATTTCCCTCTTTACCTCGCTCATTTTCCATCCGTCTCCCTCGCTTGCTTGCTTTCGCCAACTTATTCTATATCCCCTCATTCTTCTTTTTCTCTTTTTTTTCTCTCCAAAAACTTCAGTATATAAACACACACACACATACACACAGGCAAGGCAAACCTTTTTGTTCAAAGCCAGAAGCAGAAAGCTGAAGTTTTATTCAAATGAATGTTTACTTCTTCTACTGCCAAGATGTGTGTACTTGTCTCTGTACACGTGTGAGCGAAGGAAGAGGGGAAATAGTTCGAAGCATGCGAGTGTGTGTGTCTTAGTGTGTGTTACATGCACGGCAGAAGGAGAAGGGCTGACTGTAGGTGATAAGGCAGACAGGCCTGCACACTGTGATTATCACACACCGGACCCCCCTGTCTCACACACACACTCGCTCCTACACACTTGCATACACAAGGGCCAATGAGAGAGTGTGTTGCAAGGATTTAGGACAGACAGACGGACGAACAGACAGAGAAGCCTTGGATCACAGGCAAGGTGGAAATCACAAGAGAAGCAAATGAACACAGACTGGAAAATACAATGCTTCCCTTTATGTTCCACTGAACACTCATTGTGTTGAGCTGGGTTTTATATCAATGTTATTGTCCTCTGATGTTTAGACATGAGAATCCAAGTCTGTTTTTTTTTATACCAAAGAAGCTTTATATGTCTTTGTAAATAAAAATTATGTTACAAATTACGATGGAATATGAAACTGTCTTTGTTTTGATCTCTTTAATTCAGGTGTGTGGCCATCTGAAGAGGTGATGGCACATTACTGTCTGCAGAATCATCACATGTTCAAGTGAGTTATTTCCTTTTCTTTTTTATTCACCCTGTTGTCAACAATTCATAAGTGCCAAAGTGGTATAGACTAACAGCTGTGATTTATAGCACAGATTTTGTATTAAACTTTTATTTGTTCAGCAGGATGGGATGTTTTCTTAGTCATATATTTTAAGATGCACACATTTTCCATAAATGTATTTTTTTTTTACTTTTTATTCACACATTGTTGTGTAAACAAATGAGACATTTTAAAATATGATCTCAATTTTTTGACCCAACAACACTCTGTTATGGAATATGCTAAGAAAATGCTTTATGTAACAGAAACCTTTCTACTTTTTGAAAACAGGAGTATTTCCTTTAAATACTTAACATTTTTAGTAAACTAAGTAAAGTTCTATTTTTGTTACATGAACTTGTATCAGTATTTTATTAAAGTTGAACAAAATATTAGCAAATAATTGCTATTACACTATCAATGCAATACTGATATTGCAAAGGGCTGCAATAAACTGCAGAAACAAGTTGCATGATAATAATATATTCAGCCAGATGGACTTTCTAAATACCTACAGCTGAATTACTTGATAGTGGCAGATATTTTAAAAGCACATGACGTGTGTTTTAAAAATGAGGAAAATATGTTTATTGCACCTGATAATGTCGCTGTGGTATTCTCAATACGTTTTAACAGTTCACTTAGTTACAACAAGAAACCGAAATCTTCTTAATCACTTCCTTGAAAACGTCCCAAAAGTAAACCTCGGTGGGATTTGCAGAAAATGCCTGGCGCACCTTCCTGTGCCTCGCTGCGTTGTTTTCGTGCTGCTCTTTTCCCCGGCTGCTGTCTGCCGAGCGTTCGGCCTGCCCTGTGGCACGGGGCTGAAAAGCACCCAGGCACTTTTGATTTCCACTCAAGGTGGATCGCCACCCTTTGATTTCCTGTTTTAACATTCAAGAGGCGGGAGGCGAGGCGGAGAGGGTTATTGATCAGAGCAGCATAGTGAAGGTCAGCGAGAGAGGGAGGGAGGCAGGGGGAGGGATAAAAGAGGACAGGGGAAGAGATGGAGGGTTTGGGGAGATGAAAGAAGGAAGAGGATGGAGAGAGGGGTTGAATGAGCAGGCGTACTACATGACTGTGTGTGTGTGTGTGTGTGTGTGTGTGTGTGTGTGTGTGTGTGTGTG